AAAAAGGAGAACTTAAGTACACAAGTTAAATGAGTGCAAAATATATATATATATATTTATATTCTATATATATAATATTATTTTTTTATATATTATTATTTTTATTATATTATTTTATATTTTATTATATATAAATATATATAACGTACTTACAATATGAATTCATAACATAGTAAATTCACGCAATACTTCCATTCAACATTAAAATAAGTTTGATGCCATAAAAAAATTCTCAAATTTTGGAAGATTTATACGCATATACTGTCGCCATCACTCATACTAGGAATCCCTTTAAGGCGAGCTCTATACAAGAATCCCTAAGAAACTGCTAACCGCTAGGCTTCCGCACGAGCTCGACACAGAATGATCGCGCTAAGGATTTTACGTGGGAACTAGAGCTTGCCTGAATACCAGACCTGTGACGGGCCCCCTGGGGTTTTCAACACAAGGCTTGCAGTCGCGAGGTGGAAACGGCCCATCAAAATGTTTTTTTTTTTTTTTTTTTTTTTTTTTTTTTTTTTTTTTTGTTTTTTTTTTTTTTTTTTTTTTTTTTTTTTTTTTTTTTTTTTTTTTTTTTTTTTTTTTTTTTTTTTTTTTTTTTTTTTTTTTTTTTTTTTTTTTTTTTTAAAATGCGCTGCCCATGCAACGGCAACCACCGTGCAAATAACATGTTTCAGCGCATCGACATTTTTACTATGCTCTGCGCCCTAGTGGAATCAAAACCAGGTGTAGTACAAAGAAGCAAGGTAAAAGAAAAAATTTAATACCAAGAAATTTCAACTGCATGAAAATAAGAAGATTTTTAATATTTCATTTATCCTTAATATACTGGAGATACAAGTAAATGTCTGAAATAATAATCGAACAACTGGGAGTCTCAAACAAGTTTCCCTGCAAATTAAACCAAATGTTTACCTGACAAAGCGGAAATAAGGCAACACAGCCTTTAAAATTTCCGCTAGAAATAAAATCTTCCACATGTTCTAACAACAAAAGTCCTACGCAAGTTAGAGGCTTCAAAGAAAAATTTATAAGCTAAATAGATCGGCTAAAACTTAAAATGGGCGTCGCGCATTCAACGCTTGCGAGCTACTCCGGGCCCCTTGGCTTAAAATTACCTGGAAAGGGGAGGGACAACGAGCGCGTCCAAGGCCGCTTAGCGAAAGTCATCATCAACAACCAAAGCCAAGGATAGGGCTCAGTTGGTAAATATGAAAAAAAATACAAGTGGAAATACATAATATAATTTGCGCTATAAATCAAATGAGGTCCTAAAAACAAAAAGGAGCTTTTTTAAGTAAAATTTTTAGAGATTTACAACAACGAGGCAATAGGTAACGTGCGAGCGAAAAAATAAATCCAAACAAGGAAAGCGCCTCATGTATATACGCGTTGTAATCTCAATTATAAATCCGCGCCTAAACACCAAACGCCAAAATCTAATAGCAGGAACAATAATATAAAGGAGTAAATACAGCCGCAATTTCAAAAACTTTAAAATAACTGTGTCCATGTCCATAACGCAAATTAATGTCGCAAAGGGTCTAAAAATTAGGCATAAGTTGGTCCCATGTTAGCAGCCTTAAGGTAGGCTATCATGTCGCAAAATCTTGCATGTAATGCATGTTCCATGTCCTGATTTTAGAAATAAGTTGTCGCATAGCTCATAGCGCTAAAGCAAATGTCCAAAGAAGCAGTGTCCAAATATGTTAAAATGTCCAAACAACAGATGACTGAAGATGGATTATAGGTTTCAACCGAGGACCTTTTTTTAGTGGATTAATAGTCCCCCCGCAAACCAGCGAGGACTTTTAGTGGATTAATGTCGCAAAACCGAGGAAACCTTGCAATGGATTAGTCGCGCAACAGAGGAACTTCAATGTGATTTAATAGTCCCCGCAAACACGAGGAAGTTCATGGATTTAATAAGTCCACAGCGAGGGAGCTGTAATTTATATAGACGCATGGAAAGCTAAGAAGTAAAGGGTATACATATTCCTTTACTGCTTTTGTGCATGCCCTCCACGGTAGCCAGATTCTAAGGCTTGTTGTCAAGAAAAGTCATCCTGCATATGTGTAGATGAAAGCAATTGAATAACTAGCAATTTTTAAATACTCGATAAACCAAGGGCAACCTACTCATGTTCACAAAAGTTGCCAATATGAAGCGGCGCTGGCGATTCATTATATGAATCATGTATGGAAAGTATATAGCCCATAGTAAGTTTGATCAAGACAGAAAATTACAAAAACGAAAATAGGAAAAACCTCCGATTGAGGGCCGACGTCAAATCAGCACAATCTGTAGTTTTTTTTCTGGGCAGAACCATAGCATTAGTTAAAATGAAGAATATGCTTTTTGCCTGCTGGACAAACTCTTTTTAGAATAGTTTTTTTTCGTTTGGAAAACTAGACTGCACATAAGATATCAATTCTGAAACAGCTAAATTTGGCTCAAGTTTTGGAGTCAAAATAATGATATTTTTCAAATTTTCCAGTCCAAACCATTTTTAATGTGCAGGCAGAAATTTTTCGCTGGGCAAGGATATGATCATCAGTAAAAAATGAGTATATCTTTCTGCTTAGGAAAAACTATCTTTTAGGTTATGGTTTTTTCCGCCATGTTTTTTTTGAAAACTAAGATTTCACATATCCCTTTTTTCCAAAATTTGGCATTAGTTTTTTGGTTCAATTTTGGATTTTAATTTTGGTTTTTTATTTTCAAATTTTCTAGGCTCAATAGTATTGTGCAGGCAGATTTTTCAACAGCAGAACATAACAAGGCATGAATATTTTGTAAACAAGAAACTCAATAAATTGTAACCTTTTTCAATCATGCACAAAAAACCTTTAAACGAAACATAAGAGCATTCTAAATTCAGATAAAGCGATTTTATTTTTTTTTAAAATTATTTTTCAAATTGCTTTTAAAAAGCACTTCTTATAAAATTCCGTTGGGCTTATCCTCTTTTAAGCATGGTAAAAGACCTAGTCCCAGCTTCATAAAACCATTTATATATCCAAAAGGAATGCCAATTTTTAAATACACAAAATTAATTGATTAGGCTCTATAAAAGGCTCCATTAAACTCTTTTCAAAAATTATTTTTAAAAAATGGGAAGGGGGATTAGTAGAGATGATACTCGGCCGCTGGGGTTGGAAGGAAACAAACTTGTTTTTAGAAAGGCAACGTCGAAGCGAGATCTCGCACCTGCCAAAAGCGCTTAAAAAAAAAATCAAACAAAAAACCTCTCAACTTGAAAAGCCTCCCAATCCTCCTCGCAAGAAATTCCAAAAATAGGGTTTTAATGGGTTTGTTTTGGGTTGGCTGTTAAGGGTTCCTTTAAATATGGATTAAAAGAAAGGAAATTTTCGTGGGGAAAAATAAATAAGGTATTTATTAGAGACAAACCCGAAACAAAACCTGTTTTTAGACCCGAACCAGGGAAAAACCTAGTCCCTTGAACTAGAAAAACTACCTCCTTCGGTATTTTGGGCTATAATTTTTCTTCATAGCGACCGTTGCGGAATTAAAGGTGGATTCTAAGATTTTTTGTTTTTTTGGAAAGGCTTCTTGAAGAATACCTTACAACTTCGGTAATTATATACTTTTTCCGGCAGATTCTTTTAATGAAATAAGGTGTGAAAAATATAGAACTCTCAAAAACTGGTCAAAAATTCCAGATTCTCACTCTTGGCTTTGTGCTATGAAATTTTGTGTATGTTTGTACTCCACATATAATACATATTACATTGAATTGATCTGCAATCAATTTCCTAGGCAAATTACTCAAACATCCATAATATTATTTAATTTTATAATATGTAATTATATATTATTAATATTATCATAAAGTAATTCAATTTCGGGGTTTTTTACACAAAATACGGCTTGTAAACACTTAAAAACAGGAAAAACTAGAAAACATGTTCAGGACTGTCGACCCCGCTAGTTGTTTCGGGGGCGTCGCGAGCCGACAAGCCGAATTT